TTTTCATAAAGATTGCCCGATCGGCGCCCCGGGAGCACTTTTGCGTCCAGCGAAGAGCCTCATCCAGGGGGTCGTCGCTTACCCCCTTGCACGGGCACGTACATATACCTACCTCGTCGTCACTGGGCTGAGTTTCTGTTGTCATAGCTTGCTGTCTACGCCGGGTTATGAGACTAGGCTGTGCAACAGTTTACAAATGCGTTAAGACGATCGAGATTTTATGGCGCATCTGCACGAGTAGATAGCGAGAGATGAAAGATACTTAAAATGTTACAGCCAATGATTTAATAGCTAGTAGATGAGCAACAAACTCCTTTTTTCGAATCCTGGAAGAATCTAGAGGAACCTATTTTCGAGTGACAGTGAACACGTAGGTATTTCTACCCGAGAAAATCAGGGTATCACGGCTCCTTCGTCGAAATGCGATTCGTACCAGCGATCGCTATACACGTATGTTTGTGTACCTACGTTGTAGATGTGTAGAGGTACATGAGCAATAAACGAGGGGGGTGGGGAGTACGTAGGCATCACCGAGAAGGCCGCAGGCTGTTCGATCTCGAGTCTGATTAATAATCCATCAGAGCGGGAGGAGGAGGAGGAGGAAGCGGGGGTGGGCCCTCGAGCGCAGTGGTAATGGCAGCCTCTCGCCTCGATCTTACCTTCTATTGAAAGCTACTGCCTCTGGAGAAGAGAGAGGAGGACTTGGGATAAGGGCTACCCACTTCTGTCTCGATCCCCGAGTTTGGCGTATGTAACAGCGATAAGATATATTTGGCCTATTACTACTTTTCTCCGAGGCGCAGGATATATAGCATGTCTCTGTCTGTAATTTTTGGTTTCATTTATTTTGTTTCTCTTTCGTTTTAGGATATCAACACCTGTTTTCTGACTAACAACATTGTCCTCCAGGGTGTACCTCAATATACGAAACGATGTACTTGATGACTTTTTGTTTGCATTATCGATCAAAATTTCCAGCTTACCACATAACTGAAAACGAGGAATATCGTTGACTCTCGATGACTCTTGTTTGGAGTTTGGGATGGCAATTAAGAAAAGTAAGGGGTTGAAAAAAAAAACAAAAAAGTTTTTCACCATTTCACTGGAAAGCTGTTAACCTCGTTTGACATACTGATGTTTATCATAGAGTAAAAAATAAAAACGCACCCACGTGAATCCCACCCGTTATCGTCATCCGTTGAGCGCATACGTGCGCAGCTGAGATATTATGTCCTTCTCCTTCCTCTCGCCTGATCTTTATTCTACGATCGGCCATTTCACGTGCACGTCCCGTTTGTCATATGTTCTCATTTTTTAGATAGGCTGATAACGGTGAGATACTCGACGCGAGTCGACTTGAGTTTTTTTTTTTTATACAACTTCTCGAGCGATTTTTTTTTTTTTTTTTTTTGAGGTGGTATGTTCTTGAGAGACGAGGTCAAACTCTTAATATTGGACATTTATCGTATTCAAACAGTTTAAAGTCTTGACATGAAATTATCAGCCATGTAGATTGATTTCCCAATGAAAGCTTAAGGTCGCAGTGTAAAAGAAAGCTTCGAGCTTCATTCATTTATGAATGCTCAAGCAGATGAGAATTAATTTTCTCTTAGTTTCTTTCTTTGTGGAATTAATTTTTAACCTTTCCTTAGGTATTTCAAAGCTAAAGTGATACTCTGATTATCTTTTGGTGTATATGAAAATTGTGGAAACAACAACTCGAATAGAAATGAAATGTAAAACTAAAAAAGAAAAAAAAAGGGGCAAAAAACCAGCAAAAAGTCGGGGAGAAACGCGAAGATATTAATCAAGGCAAAAACGGTACTTTGCGGACTGTAAAGGGAGGCTTGAGAGCCAACCGATAGGAAAAAAAAAAAAAAGAAAAAAAAAACCCCTCGTAGCAACAGAAATTCATCAGACCACGACGAATTTCGTTTATCTTCAAAAAAGACCGCACATTTTCGTGCGTCCTCCGGACTACAAGGTGTCAAATGTAGGACGAGAAATAAAACACGCAATAAAAGACATACACTATTAAGAGTCCACAGTCGACACGTCAGCGATAGCTTCCGATTCATCAGTACCCGAGCAAGCAAACGACATTTGACAAAGCGTCCCATAAGAAATTTTGCAGACTTCCTACGATTCAGTGCTAACATTTTTCTTTGTGTTTTCTTCGTCACCCCCTCCCTCTGCCACTCTTTTTTCGTAAAGGTCCTTTTTTTGTCGTTTGGCAGAGAAAAAAAAACAAGAGCTCTTTTCATACGGGAGCTTGCAAAATGATGGCTTCTGCTAACGGGCAGTGGGATCGATTAATCTTTTTTCCCCGTAGGCTTTTACAAGATCCTCGTCAAGTTATCAGGTGTATATGGGAACGTATTTCTCTACCGATCTGATTTCTTTAATTTCTTCTCTAATTAGGACTTTAAAGGAATTCGAGGATGGAAAGATAATGTAGAAGTTACTGATTGCTCGATCGGTCAAGGGAAATCAGGTCCTGAGGCGAAAAATATTTCAACCGAATGCTTGCACCCCGACTAAAACTGTCGTAAATATTAACAATATCAAGTGTTGTCAGTTAAATTATAAAATCATTGAATCTTTACGAAAAATAATTGGCCAGAGTACTGAGAACGAAAAAACTCTTAATTTCGATGATAAGTCTTTTTCCGCTCTTGAACGGAAAAAAAAACAAGAGAGAGAGTACGACGGTAAGCGTTGCTGGAGCTCTCATTAAAAATGTAATATTATCGATTTTCCCTTTGCTACGGCCCACAAGTACACGTAGCGCGCACACGCAAGTCCTACTATCTCTTCTAGCTATGTCTGACCTATCGTACTGTAGTACTACTGTATATTTTCTCGCCACCTTACGCTTTCCACTCTATTCCCTTTTTCATTTTTCAACTGTGTAACTATGTAAGATTTTTGCACAAAATTAAGTATATTAAAGGATGAAAAGATTATGTACACGTAAAGAGATAGAAAAGTTTAACCTTTTTTAAGGGTTTGAATGATGTACAGGAATAAAAGTGATCGATTTAATTTCTTTAAAATGTTTTTTACCTCTGCTTTTTTTTTAATTTAATAAACTGAGTAGTATTTATTATGTAAATTTCTATGTCCTCTGTTGGTTAGTATAATTTATTATAACGCCAACGTTCAGTAACAAAAAATTCTTCCAAAACGTAAAAATCAGCAAAAGAAAATAGCGCAAGACGCTCGTCAAGTAAGGTTGTAAAGATACAAAGAACACATTCCTAATCTGGCAAAGTTTAGCACGCATCTAAAACTTTTTATGACGCCCATAAAATCAAATAACGACTTCTTGAAATCCCCCCAATTGAAGCAGCCTTTGCAAAGAACCATACTCTGAGTATGGGAAAACTTTCACGAGCAAGAAACTAATGTATTATTTTTTTTCTTCGGAGACTTTCGGCGTTCACGCATGTTGGAAAAACTTTGCAAACAATGCGTACAAGGCGAATTAAAAAATTTTCTGATTCAATTGCATTTGCACATCTTTACGCTAGGCTAGATCACGTACCGCAGCCGAACAAACCGTACAAGTTTGGATTTCCGCGGTGCTGCACGGATATACGTACTCAAACAAACTCCCTTTTACGTACATACTCATCAAAGTCCCACCAAAGTAAGTAGAGAGAGAAGAGAAGGAAGTGAAGTCAGCGCGAGATATTTCTTACGTTTTGTGACTTTGAGGTACGAAATTACAATTTCGCGGTAGGGAAGCTTTAATGATCGTTTTGACTATTGTTGATTTCTCATTCCTAATGTATGTTTTTTTATTAAAAATTATATATATTGTTAACGAAGGTACTGAAAAGTAGTAATGATTATTAGTGTACAGTTTGAAAATAATTGTCTCTATAAGTAATATTCAATCACCAGCTTCCACATTATTCCAACGGTATATTAACCAGTCATGGAAAAAAAAGAAAGAAAAAAAGCAGACGACCCAACCTCAACCCTATACGATTTAGAAACATGAGTTATCCCCATTTCTCAAATATCCCTCTCGATTTCTTCCTCACCCGGCGTTTCTCTTTCGGTCTCGGTTTACCTTTTTTTCCCCCTTTTCATTCTCGTGCAATGTACCCTATCCACGTAGTAAAGCTCGCAAAAGCTCCGGGAAATCCGAATCGCAGTCGCATCCAGTTAACGTAACAGTTCCCCCGCTAGCTCAGCCTCCCTCACTCCTGTCTGGTGTATATGAGCGAAAATCAAGTTACGCGCTACTTTCTGCGGAACGATAGGTGCTGCCCCTTCCCTCCGCGTCTGTTCGGTTTAATTTTGTTTTGCAATAGGGCGATTGTTCGGATATTTTTTTTGGTGCTTTTTTACTTGTCTCTCTTTTTTCTTATCGAAGTAGTTTAATAGGAAAATTTCAAATATCAATTATAGTATCTTTTATAAAAGAGATGGGCTGGTTAGTTTTATTTAGTTATAATTAAATATGGGTTCCAAGCTTAATAAAGTAAGAAATGAATATTTTCAATGTCTTATCCCCATTTGGTCTTTTTTATGAACTTATCTTTCGTGTACCTACGTTTTCTTTAATAATAATAATAAAAAAAAAAAAAAAAAATGCTAATACTCTACTTTGAGTATACGTTGTGATCCTTAATACCTACGTTATAAATGGGATTACACTGGCTGCGAAGAAAAAATTAAAGCTAATAATACGAAAGAAAAAGGAGATTTCTTCGTTGTCTCGATAGTATTTTAAATTTCGCGCACAATTGTGGCACAATGGATGAAAACTAAAATAAAAATTAATAAAAAAGAATTTGGCTCGATTATAGTATTTTTAGGAATAAACAACAAAAAGTTTATATTGAATTAGTATTGCATATAAAAACTATTGGGTTTACATGTGCATCATCATTATCACTAATAATAGGTAAAAAAAAGTGCCAAATAAAACAACCATAAACTTCCTTGTGGAAATGTAATATAATAACGCCAACTTTCCTTTGCAGGTCGACGAGCGGATGGTAAGATCTCGAATAACTTAGAAATACGTATAAAAACATCGAACGATGGTTATAGCAAGGTCAGCAGATCGTTTTATGTATTTGTTGAGTAGTAGAAAAAACTGTGAGGTTCTATTATGTCGAACTCTCGGTTAGCGGCGTGAATCATGTATTGTGGCTTTTTTATGGGTAGAAATAGTATATGTGTACACTTTTAACGTGTAAGTTTTTAAGTTATAATCACGAGAAAGTATTGATGTACGTAATTTGAAAATATATTAAATTTTTAGGCTCAAGATTTTTTTAACATTCATATTTAAAAAAAAAAACTAATGCTAATTATTTAATACATCAGTACTTTCTCCGTTCATCAACATCAAAATACACATTCACATGGTACATAATTATTGATAATACTGAAATTTCCACTCATAAAGTTTTCTCCCGTCCCCTTTAAATGTCGTCAATACGTTTGGACTGGGAAAATCCCTCAAACGTAACCAAAAAGTCAAATCTTCGGAGCGACAACACGAAGGTGACGTCAGTCATACGCTCGTGCGTCTTTTGGCTCTAGAAGTGACGAAGGGTATTGGAGCCAAAAAAGCATGTGCAAAAGAGAGAAAGAGAAAAAAGGAACTTTTCAGTTTGCACTGGTGCGAGGGTGTGGAAAAAAAGAAGGCTACCAACTCGTTCATTGTTTCTCTGTTTCCTCTGTAAACGTTAAAACTGAGACTCCCATTTTTTACTCTTTTTCGCGAGCACGCCTGGATTTCTGGAAACAAATGATGCTAGTTACGCTCCTTTATTTTCGTACATTGGATTTCCCAGCTTTCTGCTTTTCCGTTCCCCCTTATTTTTTACTCATTTGTGCGCACATGCACACACAAACACAGAGATACTTCTAATATGTGAGAAAGCTTTTTGGCGCGTTATTTATTTTGATCCCTCTTTCTTTAACGTGACTATACTCCTTGAAATATATATTTTCAGCGCAACTTAATTAATTTTGCTTTTTATTTTTCACTGGTAATTGTAAGTGATTCAAAGTAAAATCATAATTAATGTTATAATTGTATACGTAGCACCAAATAAACTTTTACCAAAAATTTTATAACAAATTGTGAAAATTATGAAATTTCTGGACTTTAACAGTCTGCACCTGCACGTCATATTTCAATCCGTTGAAATTACAATTCTTAAACAAAATTAGCATATTACCAATACATCCAATATTTTCAATTGCTTTTTTTTTGTTTGTCTCTACATTATATTTTTTTTCTGTAGTTTATTTTAGAAAGTCGTAACACATAATTTTATATGTATTTTGAATATATCTTTAACAATGAAACTGCGTCATGAATAAATTTTGAGGGATAAAAAAGTTATAAGCAATTGTTCAAAATGCTTCTTACATTCTAATGGCATTACATGTTATTAAAACTTCGATGTAAATAAATAAATTGAATATGCCATCAAATATTTTTAAAACTCCTACGCAAAATTAAAATATCTCGGATTTTGTCTCAAAAATAACAAAAGCACATTGATGTGCAAAATCAACCAAGAAAAAAATTTCCTTGCCAAATGCAAAAAGAGAGAATAAAAAAAAACCATTTCCCCCGGGAAATCTAGGAGCTGAGCAAAAAAAAAAAAATAGTTGACTAATTCTACGAAAAGAATATTCGTACCAGTAGAACGAATTGAATTTCCGCGCAAGAGGCGTGTGAACCCTCATCCACATTATTTAATCAACTCATACGCTTGCTCATTTGCTTACTTTCAAAAAATTTCCCCACGGATCACCACGAGTAGCACGTACACACTCGTACGAGATATATAATTTACAGTCTCAATCGTGCACCCGTCACTACATTTATTGATACGCGTATACTCAAACATATATAGTTATCGTTTTTGAATTTATTTTGTAAAAAAAAAAAAAAAAAATTAAAAAATTTTCTGATGCAATTGCATTTGCACATCTTTACGCTAGGCTAGATCACGTACCGCAGCCGAACAAACCGTACAAGTTTGGATTTCCGCGGTGCTGCACGGATATACGTACTCAAACAAACTCCCTTTTACGTACATACTCATCAAAGTCCCACCANAAAAAAAAAAAAAAATACACTCGAGCAATATTAATTTCAACGCTTTACCGTGCAATCCTTCATTCCACCTAGCACGCTCAAGAAAACGCTCCTAGAAATGCATCACCCCAAGCCTGTGGACGTAAGAAGAGCAATCAGCTGCTGCGCCCGAAATGACTTTCCTTCTCAATTTTTCATTCAATTAACTTCGCATCAGGCAAAACGGATGTTGCGCTAAATACGAGGAAACAGCAGTGCCAGTACCCCGTACAGTACTTACGTATAGGAAACAGCTTTCCGTTTGTATCTCCTTTTTATTCTTCCTCGAAAGGCGAACAGTTGATCGTAATTGGGGGACGCCGGTAGCAGCGTCACCAGATATATTTCCCGTTGGTATCTGGCATCGATTGGGCCAATAATGGCAGAGGCTGCTTGCAACTCCGATCTTTCTTGCTCTATATCACATGGGCGTGTGGGTCGAGGTAACGATAGCGCACGATCGATAATTGCTCCAATTTTCGTTTTTATCTCTTACTTACTTGTTGTTCGTTGCCACACGTGCTAATCTCGAGGATACGGGGTAAGCACACCGCTTGCATCGCGCGCGTGCAGTATCGGTTCTCGAAAGAGAGGGAAACTATTGAAAATCAATTAACGCTAAAAGCATCGATGATGCAGGCATGTGTACGTATGGATACGAGGAGATGTATATTCGATCGGGCTCCGTTCTGTCGAGCCGCAATTCCGTCTCTCGATTAATTTATTGCTTCTTTGTCGCCCGGTGTTGTAGTTAACAACCCTTCGACTAATATATTATCAACGAGATGATTGAGGGTCCCTTTCGATTGATTTAACGTATTAATAGATAAAAGTGTTGTTTGCTTTTTAAATAAAATACGAGATCGATGGGCGCGTTTGCATTTACATTTTTCTCCAACGGAACATCTTGTTCGATGTGGCAATGATAGAAAAGCTGGATATATAGGCGCAAATTTATGGGCAGGAAGGGGAAAGGGGGAGCAAAAAGTGTGCTAAGCAAACTAGGACGCACGCGCTTTATCCTCCTGAGTTTTCATTCATAACTCGGCAGTGAAGTGGCTGCGGCCTATCATCGGGAGTTATAAATGTCTTGTGCGTGATTTCATGCTATTTCGTAGTGTTTATTGCACCTGATCGCGATCGGCTATTTTGATCGGGATAGCTGAAAATGCGTGAAAATATACGAGCTGCGTCTGATTTTTTTTATTTGCATTGTCCACGTAAATTTAGAGGTTCAAATTTATCATTTTTCGGAGGTGATAAGTACAATTTATGAAAATGTTCTTTAAAACTATAGATTTTAATAAACAAAGTATCTTCTGTAGACTGCGCTAAAATAATAATTAGGTAACGGTGAAAAGCGCAACCTTGTAATATTAAAAAAAAATATGACGTCTAATAGCGTAATAGTTATAGTTTACAATAGAGTCAAACGATTTTCCTTAAAAGTGAATTTTTCTTGATACAGTATCTAAAGAGTAACAAAAAGTTATGATGAAAATACCATAAAAATACTTTTCGTTTTGGATACACAGAATAACAAAATAAGTTTTGTAGAGAAAAAAAAAATTCTAAACGATGATTTGCTTTCAATATAACCAGAAAGCAAACACTGCATTAAATTTAATTAATAAACTGAATGGCTCACCAGTCACTTTAAGTGTATAGTCCGTTATAAATAAGCAAACAATCACATGAAAAAATCATTATGATTCAATTTGTTTTTATTAAAACTAAAATTGTAGAAATAATCACATAAAAAAAAAGTAAGGCTTCAACACACTAAAACTATCACACCCGCGATGTACACCTATACTTACAACTTCAGTCCACGCCTTCTATAAAAAGAATTCGACTACATGTGAACACACAGTCCAAACATGCGGGAGAAAATAAAGAGGAGGTAGTACTGATGAGAGACCAAGAGACAGTTATCGGTATGCACAAATCAAGTTATCTTCGTTTCATTCACATCTTAGTATTATGTTGCAAGTAAAAAAAAATGAAAAACATCTTTGTCAAGGGTAAAAAGGATACTTTGAACACCAGCACAAGAATGAGGTCAAGGAAGCTGATATATTTTCGTAGCAAGTATATTCAATTACAAGAGCGACTCAAGAAAACTTTATTTTTTGACGTAATTTTCTTTTTTTTTTTTTACTTGTGATCGGAACATCCTGGTGGTAGGAAATAACGATTCATCCAAACGAGAAAGAAAAAATGTGTAGCAACCTAAGGAAATGGAAAATGGGATTTTTATAAGGCAGAACTGGCTGTCACTGTCTGTCATTATAAGTATTTGAAGTTACAGTGACTAATTTGAAATTATGATTACGAACAAAAGGCGATTGATAGGGTTCACATGTAATTGATGACAACAACAATGTATTACAACAAGTAATTACAACAATCCAATACTCAATATTTTTTCATAAAATTCTTTTAAAATACAGTAAAGTTCATGGAGGATGGAAGTAAGCCCACGTGTGAGCTTCAACGAACAGAGACTTAATCGGTGATGTTATTTTCAGTCTTGGCTTAAGTCTCAAAGCATCTGGGCACAGTTTACCTACAAAAGTCTGTTGTGCTTAAATCTCAGAAATTTTACAATAGCACCTACATTTGGATTACACTGTAGATTTAGTTGACGATCTCAGCTTTCCACGACGTCTCTACTGCAGCGTGCGAGCGGCTTAACGCTTGTGCAAGAAATTTATCCAGTTCTAAACCCATTTTCAGAATGGTTGGGATTACTTGAGAGTGAAATTTTTTTGGGATTAATATATGTTTGACTATAAATAATTCGAAAGCTCTGGTATTTCAAGTATTTTTTAATACTTGAGCCAAATAAAAACATGTGAGTGGCGTGTGATTTTTTTTCGTACCATTTTT